TTCTTTATTCATTCATTATTCATTTATTCATTCATGCTGGGCACTGAGGGTATGAAAACAGTATAGTTCCTTACTTCATGGAATCTACAGTGCTGTAGTTACTCTGCATTAACAAGTTATCATTGTAACATGTTCAATAGAGAAACACATGTTTAGCACAAATGTCAGTTATGCTCATTGTGGATGAGTTCAGAAAATAGGAAAGAGATAAAGAAGAAATCAGATATAATCTTAACACTAGGAGATAAAAGCTGATGATATTTGAGAATCGATGCTTGCTTGCACATTTTTCTTCCTATGTGTGCATACAATACGTATATTTATATGTTACATAAATATATCGAAATTACATAAGTATATACAAACATATTTGTATATTATATAAGTATAGATATTATAAAAATTTATTTGCACTACACATACTATTTTATAAATTGCTTATCTCATCAATATTTTAAAATAAATATATATCTACCTAGTCATAATTACGGAGGGGTATTCCACTATATGGATATGCCATAATTTGTTATCAGATTTTCCACTGTTGGTCACCTAGATTGCTTCTGTATTTTTTCACTATTATTAACAATATAATTAGCCATATATACATTTTTATTCATTTATCTATCCTTTTTTAGGACAAATATTTTAATACTATGTTAAGCTTGAAATTTCATCTTCTTCAAGAATTAAAAATTAAGTATATTAAGAAAAATTTTAGACATTAAAAAACCCACAGCTGCTCTACTGTATTAGAAGTCAAGATAATGGTTATCATCGGGGGTCTGGTGAGTGTTTGGATAGGAAGGTGACGTAAAGGGGATTTCAGTTGTACCTGAACTATTCTGTGGTTCGACCTGGTGTTGGTTAAATGAGCATGTTCACTTTGTAAAAATTCAACAGGCTGTATACTTATGATTTGTCACTTTCAGCTTTCTAGCGTTTATGTTATATATCAATGAAATAAGGTAAAAAATTATGTTATGCTTTGCATTCATGTTTACATCCTTAGATAAATTCTAAGGATCAAATACTACTATTATTTGAAGTTTTTTAAAATTGACATTGCTAAGTATTCTGTGAAAGTTGGCACCAGTTTTGATTCGCACTAGCAATATATAAAATGTGATTTCTTTGCTTTCAAATTGACACTTACTACCATAATTTTTCTAATTTACAATGATTTATTTATAAGTTTAAATTTGAGTATTTTTCTAATTTTTCATTTGGAAAATTTTCAAACTTAAAGACAAGCTGAAAAAAACTAATATTGGACACCCATGAATCCCTTGTTATACTTGCTAGCCTTTACCTTTTTGCAACATTGGTTTTTTTCTCTCTGTCTCTATTTACACACACACTCACATATCTATACGTGTGTGTGTGTGTTATACACATTTATTTTTATATTTCTGAGTTATTTGAAAAGAAGTTTTAATCATGACAGTTTGTTCTCATAATCAAACTATTTCAACATTAAAAAAAGAATATTCTCCTAGATAACTTTAGTACATTTATCACACCTTAAAAAATTAACAATAATTGTGTATTATCAAGTAATATGTAGTCCATATTTATATTTCCACAATTGCACCAATATAGTCTTTTCTAACAGATTTTTTTGGCA